GAGAATATAAAATCAAAAATTTTATGGTGTAAAATGGAAATCAAAAGATATTTTAGGGAGTAACGTGTGATTTGTCCGAAATAAAAAAAGTGGACAGTAGAGCCATATGATTCGAGCCTATTATCTATTCCTCAAAAATAAGGTTGACATCACCCTTTGTCGTTAGAGACGCTCCTTCGCCGTTAACTAGGCCTGTCAATTGACTGGATTTTAATTTAAATTCGATTCGAATCTAAATCTGTCTTCGTTTAAATAGATATGAAGTGAATATTATAATGTATGACCCACTTTTTTTTCCCTCTCTTGTTCGATTTTTGTCTTACTTTTACTTTAATTTTTTATTTTTCCTCATTTTTTAGTTAATTATTTAAATTCTTATTATTAATTTTTTAGTGTACATATATTTTTTGTGATAATTGGATCGAATCATATATCAAAAAATGAAAAAATTCAGATATAGATTGAATTTTTTAAATCCGTTGAATAACGGACATGATGGGATCGACAAAAACTTAATCGAATTCTGCTTCAGTATAGACCAATGTGGTCCATATCAGATCTGTTCAAAGCCTACTGTTAATAGAGCCCGGGTTTTGAGTATAGTACTTGGGTTCGCCGGTGAAAATATGGGTCATTTTTTCCTAATTCGTTATTCTAACAACAAAGATAAACCCTAAACCCTAGAAGTTGTTGTGTCATCGCTGCTATTCCTTCCCTCTCTCCCTCTCTAAGAATCTATTTATGCTTAGAGCATACTAAAGCTTATCCTCTCTTTGCGATTGACTTCGAGAGTCAGTGGTATGTTTTCTCAGTGTTCTGTCTTGTGGGATATTCTTGTTGGATGATTTGTTCAAAGATTCACTATTTATATAAATGGTTGTATTTATTATGTCATTTTTTATTGGATAAATGGGTACACAAGATTGTATTTTGTAATAGGTTATGTCATCTTTTTTACTTAGAGGAGCTCATATAGAAATGGTATTTGTAAAATTTGTAGAGTTTTGAATCATTGATTGACTATTCAGGTACACCTGATTTACGAGCTAGACCCAGTGACTGATTATTAGAGCACAATTACAATCTGTGTTGGTTCAAACTAAATTGGTTGAATGTTGACATGTATAGGTAGCTTTAATTTACTACGCCTGCTCAATCTAGAAGGGGTGGATGCTAAAATAATTTAGAATGGAATTATAGAACGCAATTGCGTATTTTTCTCGTATGTAATAGTGTTCTACACTTGTACCCGTTATGTAGACAGAACTTATAGCCGTTGCTGGTTGCACCTCTCTTCCTCTGGTAGAAGGGTTCTCTATTTTTGGCTTAAATGGTTGTTATTGCAGTTAGTAAAATAAAAGGCACTATACGAAGATATGACGCTAATAATGACTCTACTCCCTAGTATGTCAGCAGTTAGGTAGCACTAAGGTTTTTTATACTTGATGGAAGGCAGGCTAAAACTTGGCTCATCTCATGGAAGGAAAAGCCAAAATCTAGTTGTCTTGTTCACCGTGTTGATACATTCCCTGGCACACAAAAAGAGAGAGCAGAATGCCTATTCTAATATATGTTTGTCCTATAAATATGTTAATTCATCTTATGCATCTCTATTTATATGATGTATACCTACATATACATGTCATATGACATTGACTCTATATGTATATTTCTATGTCAAAAATTCATGTGTAAAAATGTGCACTTATAAATTATGTACTTTTTTATGAATTATATATTATAGTAAGGATAGGATTCATAATAAGAGTAATGCCATTAGGACTTTAAAAATTGACTTAATTTTGTGACCTAATGATGTGTCAAGTGTTGAGTCCCAATGAAGAAGTCCAATAGTTATAGTTGCAATAATTCTATTGGACCATGTCATTGTCATATCATTAGGTCATCAAATTATATCATTTTTTTTGCTCCCAATAACATTACTTTTATAGTAATTACTTCTTGAATAATATGTAATACTTAATTACATGGGGACAACTGAAAAATGTAGCATTGGCAATTGTTGTGTTGTAATTGGCAACAATTAAGTTGTCAAAGGATGTTGCTGTTACCATAACAAACTTTATGTCATTGATGTTCTGTGTGGTTTAGAAACACTGAGACAAAATAAAGTGAGGGACCAACAAGGCAACAATTGCATGTTGGCTGGCTCTTGCTTAATATATTTGTACAATTGACCCCCTATCCTCCTCCGCATTTCTAAATCAGTAACTAGCTATTATTCTCTCTCTATTTCGGTTTGCATTGCATCAGTAGAAGAATCATGATGATTGTTGCAAAAGCTAAGCAAAGGTAATTTCTATGTGTACACATGTGGATATACCTATTTATCTATTTGTGTTCTTACATTCAACTATGGTTTTATTGAGGTTCGAAAAGAAGTGTTATGGTGTTGAAAAGGATTGTTGGGGTTGTTGAGGGCCTTTCTTTGCCCCTCAATATGTCATTTGTGTGATGTTAAGTGGATGTGAATTGCTTTGTTGATGGGTTCCCTAGGGATTATTCTGAATATTTTATTATGCCTTCTCCCACAAAAGATTCAATACGTTGATAAGACCCATTTGTTTGAAATATTTTTGTAACATAATTTGAATTAATTTACTCACTTGACATATATGTTCATGTATTTGCGTGGTTTTATGTACAATAATAGTATCAAACCAAACCAAGCCTTATGTCTCAATCATTTGGAATCAATGAATTGGAATTGTCTTGTTCTACTTTGAATCACCCAATGATGAAATTTTTTTTCTCCACTGCTGCACCTACAGTGCAACTGTTTGGTACATAGAGATATCTCTATCTTTATCTCTGTGTACCTAGAGATGGATATTGACGAAGGAGAGGTGGCATCAAGGCGTGTCCAAGTCCGCTTCGTCACCAAACCCAAGCCTCCTTTCAAGGCTCCACCCACTTCTATTGCTATTCCTTCTAATCTCACCAGATTGGGCCTCTCTGCTGTGGTCAATAATCTCCTTAAAGCAGGTATCATCTTATTTTACCATGTCTGTGAGTGTATGTGTAGTTAATGTATTACGGGTTCTGATATGCAGCCATGTTATTGATATGTTGGTTGATTATTACCAGGAAATGATGATTGGAAAACTGAACCATTTGATTTTGTGATCGATGGGGAGTTGGTTCAGATGTCACTTGAAGAGTTTCTTCTTGCCAAGGGCATTTCTGCGATAATCTTCTTTATTGGAACATGAATTTTGAGACACCCAAAAAGCTTGAAGTATTGTTTAGTGATACCATTGATTTTTCGATATCCATCATACTCCTAAGTGGTAATTCTCTTGATTTCCAACTTGATATCTGTGATCTTTATTGCAGGAAAAATTATTAGAAATTGAATACATTAAGGCTGTGGCACCATGAAAAGAAAAAGAACCCTTTTTACATGATGATTGGGTTAGTGCAGTTGATGGTTCAAATCCTGGGTAAGCATGCAAATTTCTAGCCACACCATGGATCCTCTATTGCTGCACAATTTTACATTTACTTGTGTTATTAAACACTGTGAGCGGGTGAGTTTTTCCTTCATACTATATGTTTTAGGCATGAATCACAAAGACTCTTTTGTACCATGTAATTCTTTAGTGGTGTCAACTTTGAAACATGTGAGATTGGAATGTGTACTTACTAGTTTTATAGAACGTTACATCATTTGGGAACACCTAGATGAAACACCGACCAATGCACACTGCAGAAGTTGGCCAGTGTTGCTAGTTTCTTAGTGTATATATCATAGTTTTAAGTTGGACACCCAAAAACAAACGTCTAACAATTGATTTGTGTTAAAATCCAAAGGCGATTGCCCACCCATGGATCAATTCTTAATTGTAGCTTTCTCCTATAAAGAAGAGGAGGTTGGATCCAACTCCTTTGACTTGAGAGGCTTTAATGTCAATTTTTTGAAGGTTGTTATTGCATATCAGATATCAAACTATTGAATGGTGCATTAGAGGGTGAATGTCATGATCGAGTGTGAGTGTGATCCTTCCAGAGCAGTTGCTGGTTGATTGGGATGGGTTCATGCATGTAAGGGTATTAATCAAGCTGAGCCTTTTGAGCTTTGGTATGCTCAGGCTTATTCAAGTTTATTGTCATTGTTTCAGGCTCAGATTGAGCTTAGTTGTCAAGCTTGAATTCATGGTCAAGTTTGGCTAGGTCCGATTCTCTTGTTTTTGTACTAGGAGCTTGTATTCAATCTCATTAATGTGATTTTTAACCCCAACCCTTTATTTAGAAGTCAGATGCCTCATCCATTAAACTAAGGGCACCATGTTGATCTTTGTACACCATGAAAAATATTTATATATTTTATTATAAACAAATTGAGCTCAAGCCTATCAAGCCGAGTGGCACATTGATTTGGTTTGGCTTAAACATAAAATGAGTTTGGAAATTTGTTCATATTCAATTTAGTTTTCAATACAAATAATCTTGAACACAACGAAACTAAGTTCGAATATTTGGTTTATTTTCATATACAATTGAGCTTGAATGAGCGAAAATTCAGCCGAGCTCTTAACAGCTGTTGCAAGCTTATCGTCCGCCCTTGTTTTGGATGAAATGGCTTCCTCAGACTTCTAGAACCTGCATTTTCGTTCTTGATAGCCAAACTTTTACAATTGTTTGAGTCATTGATACTATGCAGTGGAAGAGGGTTGTGTTTTTATTGATTGGTGTTCTTTTACTTGCCAATAGAAATTGCGTTCATATCTAATTAGCATGTATTTGTGTATTCTGGCAGGTTCATTTTGACAGGGTGCAATGATGGTTTAGGAAGGTAATATTGATGGATTCTGAGACTCTTTCTATTTTATTGGCATTGTACTTTATTTATTGTTCTCCATAAATAGGAACCTGAAGAAGTTGCCTCATTAGGATATGGAAATCTACTGGATTGTGTACATATGTTGCAGGGACATGGTGATGCAGTTACCACTGTCAGTATCGTCAAGCCAAGAAATATGGGTGAGATATTTTGGATTCACATAAAAATAGTATTTAGTTTGGAATTACAACATCAAGAATGTGTTTAAGGTTTTACCAATATAACAAGAGAGAAAAAAATTTGGAATTTAATTTTTATAACCTAAAAAGTACGGTTTAGCAGGATGTTGTTTCTGTTTAGATTTTTCTTGATTAAATTTCTGTCTTCACTAGATGTTGGAAACAACATATGTGTAGGTGCTTGACAGGGCAATTCCTCAATTTTCTAATGTGATAAACTCTTTATATTGGGCTGGTTCCTTTTCAGTGGCCGCCTTTATTTTTTTAGATGTTGAGGCTAGGCAAGCCCCATGAATATTTAAACATGAAAACAAGTTTATGCGCTCCCTTTGATTAAGCAGTTGTTTATACTTTTCCTCCGTACTCTATAGCAGATTCCTAATATGGATTTTTGAAATTTAGTGCATTTCTATATGCCATCATTGACTTTATTTGTCTGTTGATCTTGTCATGCTGTATTTGCAGCTGTGCAAAGTGGTGCAAATTTACTTTTAGCCGCTGCTTCAAAAGATAGGACTTTAAGACTATGGAAGGTAAATGAAGATACTACTGCTCTTAGAGTTGAGTTCACATTCTCTTCCTTTAAAACTAGACCTTCTTCCTATTAAACGTCCTCTTTCCCTGAAAGTTTGATGCAGAGGATTCTGTGGACCATCCTTCCAAGATTAGAGCTTATAAAGTTTTGCGTGGGCATAATGCCTCTATGCAAAGTATTGCTGCACAGCCTTCTGGAGATATGGTCTTGGCCATTATTACTTACTCTCTTGTTGATAATGATTATATACACGATGTTGAATGTGTGAAAATTATCTTCATGCACTTCCCTCTTTTTATTAAGTTTTCCAGGTGTGTTCTGGTTCTTGGGACTGTAGAATTAATCTATGGTCGACAAATGAGTTTGATGCAGAAGGTGACCTAGTGTCAATCAAGAAGAGAAGAAAGGATACAGAAAATGAGGACTCTCATTAGAGGTATAAAATATTTTGTACTTCCAAAGTTGGAATTTGCCATGGAATTGAATTGTTTTTGGTTTCCAAGAATGTTATTCATACTTCGGTGTAAATACTTGAAATGAAGCTTAATTGGTTGTAATGAACCTGGAATCCTCACTGAAGTTGAATATGAAGAATGTAAATTATGATGTTTGGAATCAGTTACCCTTTCCTAGGTTGGGTTCAAGGTTAGATATGTAAGGATCACTAGAAATGTTATCTGAAAGAAATGTCATGATTCTTTGTAGTGTACGCGACATAACCTTCAAATGATCGAGTGGTTTGGGTTTTGAAGTCATTGAAAGCCTGAGTGGAATGATTATTGTAGTTCATTTAGCTTTGCATGAACTGATTCAATGTGTCCTCAAGACTTCTCTTGTGTGGTGGTTGGTACGGTTGATATGCAAGAGGTCCTAAAGGTGGTGGTTGTGAACCTTGTTGGGGATTTGAAAGAGTTGGTTGTGTATTCCTCTAACTAAAATTTGGGTTATTCTGTCACCTTGGATTATACGTTTCAGAATAAGGGTTAGAATAAGGCTTGGAAATTTTATTTGTTTGTTCTAACAAGACCTCTTTGAATGCAGGAATGATATGACACTCCCCAGTAGGGTGGCCCATCAGCGCACAAATCCCACGAACTTGTTCTATGGGAGGGCCAATATCAACTTGATTTACCTTTTTTATCTCTAGAGTTTCAATCTTTCGAGACAAGGTAGTCATTGTCGCTCTCAGGTCATCATCTTCTTTCAAGACATACTTACCCCATTAGGAAGTAGATGGTTTGGCTTTAACTGTGGTAGGAGAGGCTAAGTCCCACATCTGAGAACTCGGATATGGTGTCAAAAAAATTGAATGCCTCCTCTAGACTTTTTCTCATGAACTCTCCTTGAGTCATCATTTCAACAAACTGACGTAGTCTAATAGGCAAAGAATCATAGAAAAATTCTACCAAAGTCTAATTCTCAAAAGCATGGTGTGACCAGGCTTGAAGTAGATCCTTCAATCTCTCCTAATATTGGTAAAATATTTCTCCCTCTTTAACTGAAAAATTCATGATTTGCCTTTTGAGTGCATTGGTATAGTGTAGAGGAATTTTTTTTTTAAAAAAACTCATTCTGTAATACCTGCCAATTTGGTATTGAATGAGCTTTCAAAGAATTTAGCCATTGTTTTAGCTTTATCCATTAAAGAAAAAGAAAAAAGTTTCAACTTGGTCAGTTCAGAATTATCTTGGAATGTTTCACGTACCTCCTCAAAATCTTTAATATGCAGATGTGTTTTTTTATTCGAGTACATGAAATTGAGGCAGTAATTGCACTATCCCTACCTTTACATTAAAGAGGGGCGCATTTGCAGGAAACATAAAACAAGAGAGGACACTGTTTCGTGTGGGATGCAAATAATCTCGTAGAGTTTGAATGTTAGGAACTTCCCCTTCTCTCTCAAGAACTTCCTCTTCTCTTCTATTATTGGCCATGCTATTATTAAAAGGGTCTGCTACTGATCAAGGTGAAGATGTTCCATATTGATTTATGGACCCAACAGATTCTTCTGGCAAATTAGGAAAGCGAGGATCGTCCTCAGACATAAAATAAGAATTAGATATAGTAAATCAAAAATATATACAACAAATGAATGTCTTTTCACTTTATAATTTTAAACACCTTTTGGTTCCCCGATAACGACATCAAAAACTTGACTTGATTCGAAATGTGTGCACCAAGTGCAAGCGGTCAAGTTGTAGTTATAATCCGGTTAAGTCCGAAATTGAATCCACAGGGAACTACTGTTGGTGTTTTGAAGTAATTAGTGACAGAGACCAAAATGACTGGAACCTTTGAGATTTGAAGTTATGATGATTATAGAGTTTCCTGGATAAAATATAAGATTCTCTTAATCGAAAGAGTCACCCTTTTGCTCGAGGATTTGGACATGTAGTCAATTATCCGGTTGTTATATTTGTGCTTGAGAACTCAATTAACTTCTATGTCAACAACAAGTTAATTGGAGGATAAAGATGGACTACGAGAATTAAGAGAATGGTTCCAATGTCTTTGTAGAGATTTACAAGAATTGTCAGTGTCGGGACTCAACCTGTCTACAAACAAGTAAGTAATTTTACAAGTCATCCAACCTCTGATATTATTCCATTCTTAGTTAAAGCACAATAATCAGTGTTTTAAAACTCGGCCTGACCCGACAAATTGACCAGGTGAATCGGTGCCTAAACCGAGCCGGTTCACCTATTGGATCGTTTATGCAAAAGAACCAGAGTCAACTTGGTGAACATGCAAAAATTTGGAACCGTCAAACCGGATGGGTTCCATCAAACCTGGTGGGTCATTTAATTTACTATGAAAGGTATATTTTTGGCCATTTTGGGCATTTTGCCCTAAATTGTGTTGCCCAGTCAGCCCCCTTTGTGGACGTCGTTCGCTCCCCTCCCTCCCTCTTTCCCTCTCTCTCTCTCAGATTCTCAATCTTTCTTGCTCTACTCTGCTCTGGTTTTATACAGTAGTGTGCAGTGGGAGCTCGAAAGGGAGTGAACCTCAATCGAAGAGTTGAAGTCTAACGGTCTCAGATCAAAGGTATGTCCAATGACACTCGCTCTACGTGTTGTGGAAGTGGAGCTAGTGAAGACTCGAATGCTGGACATGGACTCGATTGGATCTCCATCGACTTCAGTACTCATTCTCTACACATTTTCTTCCCTCAAGCGAGACTCTAGGCACTAGCAGGTACGTTCTTTCCCCCCTTCTCTCTGAACATTACAATTGGTATATTATACTCACTAATATTGTATTGTATGGTTACAGGTTGATTGATTATGGCTTTGTTGATTCCGTAAAACTAGATTTATTATGGCTTTGTTGATTCAGTAAAACTAGATTGTTTGTATTTAAGTTTGATTTGGTGAAAATTTTAGTTAAATTTGGTTTGATATAGATTTTGATTTTGATATAGATTGAAGATTTGAATTGATTCAGTAAAACTAGATTGTTGATTCATTAAGGATAACCTCCATTAATTTGCTTGAACTCGTACATGGAGGAGCCCTCAAACTTGTAGAATACATTTTCTGTCTCTACTGTTCTTGATTTTTTAACTTATTTATTATTATTATTATTTATTTATTATTTTTTATTATATTACCGGTCTGACCAGTGACCCAACAGTTGAACCAGTAACCCGTTGACCCAGTCCTTCTGCCGGGCTGATGTCCGGGCCGGATTTAAAACTACGACAATAATAGTGAAGATTATAATGTTGTCATGAAGACTTAGCTTGAGTACTTGCAAAGAACCAATGAATCCTTCTATGTCAAGAGTTAACTTGTCTTAGAAAAGACTCGTGATTGTACAAAGTACTTAAGCTTTACTGGATGCATTCAATTATTTAATGAGCAATCGAAAGATAAAACATTAAGTATAAATGAAATGCACAAATATAACTTCTGAATGATTTATACATGTCCATCACCTCTTGCTAAAAAGTGAATGAGAAACTACTCATTCTTCATGGCTTTGAGAAAGCTAGAAAAGTGAGTAATTTTCATCCCTCAAAGTAGAGGAGTTATAAGATAAAATACACTACACAATAAGCCTATATTCAATGAAGAATGGGTGAATCACTACCCACCCTTCAAGGCTACAAGAGAGCTAAAAAGGCGAGAGAGTTTCACTCTTCTAAGTGAAGAAAGAAACTTTTACAATGGAAGCTAATGAAATTAATAATGAAAGTAAAAGAAAGTTAGTTACTTTTGGAGGGTTTCTTCCTCTTCCAAAGATGATCTTTAACAAGTTCCAACGGAAGGTATTTATAGGCAGAAGGAGGGGGTAAAAGGAGAGCAAAAGAATAGTTCTAGGTGCTGAAAGTCCAAGTGAATGCCTCAAAATCTGGATTGAGATCTAATCTTCCTGCTGCCTGTCTGAGATTTGTGTTTGAACGTTATTGGAGTTCAAACGTGGAAGCTTGTCTTCTTTGATGAGCGTTTGAACGTTATTGACGTTTGAACATGGTACTCAAGTAGTTTTTGCCATCCACAGTAGATAGTTGCAGCAGGCCACATGTCATCACCCTAGCAATCTCCTAGGGGCCCTCAATTATTTCAAGATGGAGTTCGAACATGGATTTGAGTTCGAACGTGGTACTCAAGTAGCTTTTCTTCTTCCTTCTCCAATTCTCTTCCAAAACACGTGGGTGTTGCTTGAAAGGTTGATGTTTATTGACTTTAGGCCCTTATACAACTTTTCTCCTTGAAATGTTATCATTTAAAATCCACCACAGGATAATTAGTTTTGTAACAGCATAGTAAAATGTTGATTTTAACTATGCATCACATACTAGTATGGGAATAATCTTGTTTTTGTTGCATTGCAACGCTACCGTCATCCTTTTCTGAATTATTTGAGCCCATTTCAAGGCATTCTAATGAGGCATAATTTTTAGAGTCAGAGTAGAAGCCCTTATCTGAGGGTTCTTTGGGGTGCAACAATCCCCTCTTGTCATCCATACATAACCCAAAATGCTCCCTACATATATATTGATGGCCCAACAAAATGGTGAAGTCCGAAGTCCATTGATACTGCCTATTTAGGTGACAGAGAGATGACCCAAGTTCTTGATCCAGCTGGTTTGAAGAAGAATGAATAGGTTCCTTATAGGACTAAGAGAGCATCTTTGCTATAGTTGCAGCCTCCGTTTCTGTTGGCTGAACAACTGCATGAATAGTAGCGTGAATAGTTATATCTTTTATTGCCTTATCGTACACATTTGCATTTGCATCTTCCACATCAACTGAATCCATGGTTTCTGCATTGGCTGAATCCATGGCTTATGGGGCAGCTATCTCTTCATTTGGAAACTCCTTTGATCGGGGGGAATCGTTAATCAAAGGATTCTAGGAATTTTTGATTTCCGTATCCTTGCCTAAATGGTCACCTATTTCCAAATTTATAGGAGTTGGTTTGGAAATATTCCCTACAATTTCCTCGGAAATACCTTGCAAAGATTTATCAGAGTTTCCTTCCATGATTTTCCCTTTACCATTTATGTGTGGTTTCCATACTCCTTGCTGCTGCACTCTTTTGCGTGATTGCCAGCTTCTTGAATTTGAATACCTTCCTTTTCTGAGTTTGAATATTCTTTCCTTTCTTCCGCTCAATAGTTTCCTTTTCGCATCCGCAGAATCCGAAGATAAGATCTTTCCTTTAGCAACCTTTGTCTAGTTCAATGGCTTCTTCTTCCTACGTTCAATCTCCTAATGACCTTGCTTTCTGCATCCTTTGCAGAATTTTTTATTTCTTTCATACACAATCCTTTGCCAGCGAGCATCCTCTTCTCCCATATCTAGCCAAATCCTAGAGGGATTATTAGCGAGTAAATTTACTTCAACACACACTCTTGCCACCCTAGGTCTAGCTAGAGAAAGAGATACTTGGTCATATGCCAATTCCTTTCCTATAGGCTTAACTAACAACTCCAAAACAGGTTTTTTGAAAAAATTCAATGGCAACCCAGGTAAATATATCCACATAGGAACAATGGAAGGTTCTATGCCAGGATCAAATGCAAGGAACCATTTGAAGAATCGGAACAAGTAGTCTTCAATAATAGTAGCATCTTTTAACCAAATTTTCACATAGTCTTCATGCTTTTCGAACCTTATCAAAATATGCTGGGATCCATTGATCGTATCTCAAAATCTCCTTTCAAATCTCATTTTGAACGTATCACTTCTCGTATCGCTCCCAAACTTGGAAGTCCATAGGCACATTTACCTATTAATGCGTACTGCAAAGATAAACAAGATTGTTTCACTTCTTCCTCGGTGAAGTGGAAGGCTGGCTCCCCCTCATAAAATACTACTGGTTTTTCAATCTTGGGAGTAGATTCTTCCACAAGAAAAGGTTTAAGTGATTGTTTAAAGAGTGATGCAAAGGATGGTTGGGGTTGTGATTGATTTGCAGGCTGTAAATCTAGAGGTTTTTTCTAAAAACCTTTAAACCCTAAACTCTAAGCTCCTTTTTTTTTGGAATCTCGACGCTGCAAGAGAATCTTATTGATTAAAAATTAAATTACACCTAGTAAGGGGACACATATGTACTTTATCCCTCGATGCAATCTAATTACATGCTTGTGAAATAAATTAAAAAGAAAAGGCAAAATACATGTCTAGAACAAATAATAATGGAATAGATGTAAATACTAAACATGTTGCCTAAAAATTAATGGTGGCAGCTAAAAGAGCAGCGCATAGATGAGTTGCCGGAGCAACAGTCGACATGAGCTAAGGGCATGGATGAGCTATAGACATGAGCTGGCAGAGCATGAAACCTAAGTTGGAAGAGCTTGGAGTTTGAGCTAAGAGCTTTGGAAGCTGATGGGAAGAATAAGGTAAGAGTATTGATGAGCTACAAGGAATGGCAAGCTGGGAGTATTTTAATTTAATGCAGAATTAATCTGATAAGGTCATATGAGAAGGTAGATAAGGATAAGGCCTTGATTCTGATAAGCTATCTGACTAGGCTCCTTATAAGGTAAATGAAATGCCAACTGATAAGAGAACCAAGAGCCATATTGGCAATCCCATTGCAAGTCAGATAGGTAACCACAGAACGAATACAGAGCATATCTCTGAAATTGAAAAAGTCCTCCCATATCTCTGTGAAAACCCTTTCTTTCTCGAACCAAGTAGAAGATGAATAACCAACTTCTAAAAAAGAAGAAAACCCATACCATCTGGAGGCGGAGAGTAATTTCAAAAGACAAATCCAAAGAGAAACATGAAGAATCCTCCAGAATCCAAGTCAAACAGATCCATGAAGAGCCTTCCACGATCCACTGCAATACAGATCTACCAAAATCCTCCATCCTCTTTGCTGAAGTATAAGATGGTGAGTTTCAGATATTGTTTTTCATGAATTCCTTTGTAGAAGATGAATAACCAACAATAGTCCAGCATAGAAATGAGAAGTTCCACAATTTGGGTCCAAATAAGTGAGAGAAGACTAGACATATAAGATGTAATCCAGAGTAAAGAAATCCAAAACAGTGATCCAATATGAAGCAGACAGATCATCTGAAGATACAAAAGCCCAATATAGTGGATGATTTGAAGCAGAGAGGGACCCCAACAGTCAAATGCATGAAGGTTCTATATACTGAGATCTCTAAGAAAGGTACAATAAGGAAAAGATGAAAGCCATAAACTCCAAACGCTAACCAATACACTGATAAGCCCCTTAGCTATATCACATCAACTGAAGAGACCAAAAGAAAACCAAGAGGCATAGTGAATGAGACCTCTAGAGAAAAGATTAGGAGAAAAAGGAGGAAACCAGCTAAGGAGATGAACAGAAAAAATCATGTTGTATGAATGATGCCTAGAAACAAAGACGACCAAAAAACCCTCTCATCTAGATAAGACCTTTTTCCTCAAGTTTCTCACTTGCATTATATCCTGCAACATAAGAAGCTTTTTTTGTAGAGGGATATTTTATGTAGATACATACGTGATGGAATGCCTATTTGTTACCCCTGTGTTTGCCAATGAATCAGCCACCATGTTCCCCTCTCGATAAGTATGATGAATCTGAAAATTGAAATGCCTAAGCAAAGAAAAGACTTGAACCAAGATAGTCCAGAATTTCCATGATGCCTTAATCTTCTGATTTACCACATCAACTAGCATCTTAGAATCAATCTCAATAATTAACTCATAGTCCTGGGGGCCATGTTCTTGTAAGAGAAGAAGACCACTGAGTAAGGCCCTTATTTCTGCCTCCATATTCGTGCATATTCCATAATAATAAGAACCATCTGACCTCCAGAATTTCATAATACGATCACCTCATGATTCTCTAGGATTTCCTTTAGAAGTCCCATCTATGTTGAGCTTAAGCAAACCCTCAGCTGGGAGTTTCCAAGCAATCCACCAAGAGAACATTTTAGTATTTTTAAATTGACACACATTTAA